TTAATGAACGTTCTGACCTATTAGCAGCTATCATATTAAAAATGTGCAAGAAAAAAATTGTTAGGGCTGGTCGGTTTAATATACAGTCTAACCAAAGGAATGTGTCAACCAAAAACATGTTTTACTGTTTATTCTGCAGTATGCCTGTGACACAATTTAAAGTATGTTTTGATATAACAGCTACATTATGTAGTTCATGGTTGGCTCTTTTAATCATATTTTAAATAATAAATAATTTTATGTTCTAAAGAATTTCATTCACTAAATTTTCAAAACCAGGCATTACTATTCTACATGTTTATTTTTATTAATTTCTAGCTAATGTAATAATTTTTTTAATAAAATATAAAAAATAAATAGCATAATAGCATATTTGGAAGGTGCCAAAAAATGAATCAGAGACATTCAATGCAGCTTCAGAGTCAGTGCTTTACAACGGAATGAAAATCTGTGACACCGCAACGAACAGCAAATCATCTTTCCGATGCCAGAAAGATATGGGTTTTTGCATCAACTGTGTTGTTGCTGGTAGCAGACACATTTCCTCACCACAGCACTCACATGCAGAGCTGAAAGCACTTCCATCTGTTCTTGACGTACGTCTGATATAGGAGCACTAGGCCTAGGGTTTGTGGTTGAATGAGGAGAAAACCAGCTGCACACCTGCACAGAGCTCTGCTTGACTCTGATTCAAATGCTGCTAAAGGGATAAAGTCCTGCTATAGGTAGCTATGTAAGGGATTTAAAGGAATAGTTCACCCCAAAAATTATTCACCTATAATCTTCCCCTCCAGTGAGCTCTGCTCAAGAACTGCCACAATTGAATCACTGATTCAATAAGTTGAACTCAAGAACTGGATCAGTGAATGAATCATTCAAATGGGTTTTGTGAACCGAACAATTAACTGAACAGATGCAACTCCAAAGAATGATTTGTTCGCTAATCGGGTATACAGACTACAGATGTTTATTAAATAGCAAGTCATATGGACTACTTTTATGAAAGTTTTATATCGCTTTTGCATTCCTTTTTTTACAAGCTTGAAAACTCTAGTCCCCATTCATTCTTACTGCAACTGAAAATTAATAATAGTCATACAGGTTTGGAATATGATGGTGAGTAAATAATGACAATTTTTAAGTGAACGGTTCCTTTAAGAAAATGCTTACTCGTTTTGTGCGTATTTGCACATATGGCTGGGTTTTCAAATATAGCATCTAAATGAGAAGCATCCGCTAAATGGCAGGTATTTATGAACTGACTTGCGTTTAAGGCAGCTCAAAAGACAATTGGACAGACGTGGTGTTCCTCATGGCAGTGGGAACGTCAGGGAGTGCAAGTGCCCCTGCAGTGACACGGGAGACGAGAGCTGGCGCCAGATATAGAGGTCACACTGAGAGCTGGCAGACTGGGCATCCTAACGCCAGGGCTTACACCATTACTGAACACAGCGCTGATAGTCTCACCCTGACACACACACACA